GGGTCACGTGACGACGTGTTAGGTTGAACTCTGCCTTTAGTTCACTCACCTGCTGTTCACATGCATCTTTGTCTTTCACAGTGTCCCCCAACTGTCTTGTGAGACTCAGTGTCTGTCGCTTCATCTGCTGATATCCACGCTTCAGATGTTTAATCTGGGACATCACGTGACTGTTTACCGTGGCCTGAAACGACACTATTTGACTACGTATATAGGAAGATACAATCCTCTCTGTCAAATCCGATCTCAGCAGTAACTCCAAAATGTCCATCTTGTTTGGAACGTCAGATTTTAAGTGGTTCAATTCCACTTTCAGCCGGTTAATTTCTTTCTCAAGCAAACCCATCTGACTGACAACTGCTGCAATATTTTCGTGTCCCTGAACCACAGATGAGGCTGCTACAAGCAGCACCAACACACACAAACTCGCCATGTTAGCTGGCAATTGTATAACTGTGTCAGAGTCGTGTAACCCGGAGCGAAGTGTCACGTGACTATCGCATTACATCCGACATGGCAGCGGGCCAAACGGAAACACTTGAATCACACATGGCAACTGTGTCAGAGCACTGTTCACTTGAGTTTCCCGTCACGTGACTACACGGGTCATAACCATAAAGTCATTTTATCCATTTTATCAATTGGTGATGGGGGTACGGGATCGATCGCTTCAATAACATATTCATCTCAATGTGTGACCTGACAAATTTAAAGTTGAACATTTCATAACTTTCAAGATTTTAACTTTGTTTACAAATACTTATAATGCACGGATTATTAGTTAAATGATGCATAATATTACATAACTTCATTTGTTTAAAGTAATTCGTCATTTTGCATTATATCAGGAAATATATAACTTGTAACACATGAGTATATGTGAGTTGTTTAATCGACAATGTCACCAAAGGACGGGCCAGCAAAACGGGTTCAGTATCAATTTCTAAGACATGTGTTGACAAAACTAGCAACTTACTGACAGGTTGCATGGAAAACAATGCTTTGAGCGAAACCTTAGAATTAAACTATATTTTGTTTTAAAAACAAACTTTTATGACACGCTTCTCTTTAGTGGCGCTACAACCTTCATTGCCAGCTCACCGCTACCAATCAAGCAATCAATCAATCACATTTTTTCTTTAAAAAACGGGGGCATGGGTGGCCCAGTCGTCTATGGCACCGCCATTCGATGTGCAGAGTTGCGTCCCTTGGGCACGCCAGAAAGCTATAATTGTAGGTTCGAATCGCGGTTCGCCCCGATTATGCTTCTAGGTTTGTCAGCACCATACCCGTGCTCGATGTGGTAAATGTCTGAGACCTGCATCACTTCGGACTTTTTTCTCCGACATTAGTGAGTGAGTGAGTTTGGTTTAACGCCTCTTTTAAAAGTATTCCAGTTATATCACGGCATGTCAGCTTAATGTGGGAGGAAAGCTCGAGGTGATGCAGGTCTCAGGCGTTTACCACTTCGGTGAAACCCACGAGCATGGGAATGGTGCTGACAAACCTAGAAACATAACATAACATTCAAGATTATTGCCCCTTTATGGCGACACGCATGCGCGCGCGTGCGTGCGTGCGTGCGTGCGTGTGTGTGTTTGTGTGTGTGTGTGTGTGTGAGTGTGTGCCAAATTCATTTATTACCCAGGCCTTCATGGAACCCAGTCATTTTTACACAAACTTACGTTTTACAATCTATTTAAGGAATCAGAGATGGTTAGATAGTTATAATATAATTGAACATTTTTTTCAATTTACAAAAACCCAAACAAACTTCAAAACTCGGAATAATTTATATTACCTCTGAGTTTAAAATGAAGGCCTTTATCTGTGTTATCACCTTCCACTTTTTTAAGATAAAAAACTAGCTGCCTGCATCATTAACTTTTATCATACCTTCACACCGCCTCCGTGGTCTTGTGGTAGAGCGTCCGCCCAGAGAGCGGAAGGTCCAGGGTTCGATCCCGGGCCGCGTCATACAAAAAGACGTTAAGAGATTGTACTTGTTGTTACCCTGTCTGGCGCTCGGCATTAAGGGGCTAAAACAAGGACTGGTCGGCTCGGAGTCAGTATACTGTGTCTGAGCGGGGTATTCATGTTAAACTGCGGCATGGTATCTCAGTGAGCTAGCACTATAAATCGGCATCAGTCCGGACTAGTACAAGCAGCCACACACACACACATACACGTGCATGCACGTCGCTATATAAGTGCAATAATTTTGGACGCGACTTTAAACCCAATTTCACCTCACCTATCATACCTTCATGACAGAGTGAGTGAGTTGGGTTTAACGCCGCTTTGAACAGTATTCCAGTTATATCAAAGCGTGTCAGCTTAATGTGGGAGGAAAGCCCGAAGTGATGCAGGTCTCAGACGTTTACCACTTCGGTGAAACCCACAAGCATTGGAATCGTGCTGACAAACCTAGAAACATAATCGGGGCGAACCAGGATTCGAACCCACAATCATAGGTTCCTGGCGTGCCCAAGGGACGCGACTCTACCCGTGCCCCCGCTTGTAAGAATGAGAAGAACCACAATATAGATAGTTTTCTGTGGCGCTAAATACATGTTCATGAGACATGTCCATATAAGGGCTGTCGCGTCAGAAAATATGTGAGTGAGATGCATTTGATACCGCCGTTCTAGTTATATCAAGGCAAGACAACTTGACGTGGGAGGAAAGCGATGCTGGTCTTACACAGTTACAACTCTAGTGAAACACTAACATATCAATAGCATTTAGCCTCTTAATGCCGAGCGCCACTCAGGGTAACGAAAAGTACCATCTGTTAACGTCTTTTGGTATGACGCGGCCGGGGATTGAACCCCGGACCTTCCACTGCCCGGGGCAGTTACTCTACCACTAGCGGTCGTTTTGAGTGAGTGAGTGAGTATGGTTTTAATGCAGCTTTTAGCAATATTCCAGCTATATCACGGCGGGGGACACCAGAAATGGGTTTCACAAATTGTACATTTAGAATTGGCATGCGTCTCTTTCATTGCCTAGTAAACTTAAGTTCTATTCTTTGTTCAAGAAGGGTTTTGTTACTTAAAACTAGTCATTAAATGTAAACGTTAGTAAATTCAGAGTACAACTTGCATGATTGAGTTGTATCTCACATGAATTATTTATTGAGATGGGAGGATAGACAGGTATTCCACGTGAAAACAGAATTTGTCAGTGATGCAACTTAAACAAAGTAGAAGGCGAATACCATTTTGAATTTTAGACAATCTGTTGGATAAAGGTTTGTTTGTAATGCAAGACTCTCACTTGATAATTTGGAATGTACTACAGGCCAGTGACCTTTAAGTATGTGAAATAAAGATTGATTGATTACTCTTCTTAAAAAAGAAATGTTCATTTTAACGCATAGAACATATTCCTTTTGTCCACTCATCCCTTGGACCGGTTCGCCGAAATACGATTGTCGCAAAGACGATGGAGATTTGACCAATCTTACGCGGACTTTGGGACTTTTGATCATATTAACATTTAAATGTATAACTTTCCCACTGAGATACTGTGTCTCGATGGAATGTTTTAGTCCAGCCTATACGGTGATATGGACGCGGCTGGCTTAGCTAGGCACAGCTTGTTAGGATGAGTGAGTGAGTTGGGTTTAACGCCGCTTTTAACAGTATTCCAGCTATATCACGGCATGTCAGCTTAATGTGGGAGGAAAGCCCGAAGTGATGCAGGTCTCAGACGTTTACCACTTCGGTAAGACCAACGAGCATGGGTATGGTGCTGACAAACCTGGAAACATGATCGAGCCGAACCGGGATTCGAACCCACAATCATAGGTTCCTGGCGTGCCCAAGGGACGCGACTCTGCACAGCGAATGGGGGTACCTTAGACGACTGGGCCACCTGTGCCCCGCTTGTTAGGATGAGAAGAACCACAATATAGATCGTTCTCTGTGGAACTTAATACAGGTACATGAGACATGTCCATATAAGGGCTGCCGCGTCAGAAAATATGTGAGTGAGATGAATTTAATGCCGCCGTTCCAGTTATATCCCAGCAAGACAACTTGACCAGGGAGGAAAGCGATGCTGGTCTTACAGTTACAACTTTAGTGAAACACTAACATATTAATAGTATAAAAAGAACGAATCAGGATTAAAAAGCATCCTTCACAGTACAAAACGGGGTTTAACGAAATTAAATTTAATTTTTAATTAAGTTTAATCCTTAAATTAAAAGTTTAAACTTTAATCCTTCCCTAAACCATGTACCATGTTGTTACCCTGCCTGGCGCCCGGCATTCAGGGTTTGAAGAAAGGACTGGTCGGCTCGGAGTTAGTTTTGTGTTACGCCGCTTTTAGCAATATTCCAGCGATATCACGGCGGGGGACTATAGAAAAGGGCTTAAAACAATGTACCCATATCGGGAATCGAACCCGGTCTTGGTGTGACGAGAGAACGCTTTAACCACTAGGCTACCCGACCGCCCCGTGTCTCAGTAAAAAAACAGCGGTATGGTATCAGTGGGCCAGCCCTACTTAACCGGCATTAGTCCAGTCGCACGCTCGCACGTCACTCAACATGTGACGTTAAGCCCATTTTACCTCACCTAAATGTAAGAAAGGAGTGAGTGAGAGAGTATGTTTTTACGCCGCTTTTAGCAATATTCAAGCAATATCACGAATATCACCTAAATGTGGGTGGTCGGGTAGCCTAGTGGTTAAAGCGTTCGCTCGTCACGCCGAAGACCCGGGTTCGATTCTCGACATGGGTACAGTGTGTGATGCCCATTTCTGGTGTCCCTCGCCATGATATTGCTGGAATAATGCTAAAAGCAGCGTAAAACTATAGTCACTCACTCACTCACCTAAATGTAAAAAAGGAGTGAGTGAGAGAGTATGTTTTTACGCCGCTTTTAGCAATATTCAAGCAATATCACGGAGAGAGATTTTACTTCACACATTGTACCCATTGGGGGAATCGAACCCGGGTCCTCGGCGAAACGAGCTAACGCTTGACCACTATGCTTCCCCATCGCCCCGTCAAAAAGGAAGACGACCTGCATGAGATTAGCGAGATATTGGTAAGAAAAGATACAGTTCAGATACTTTACATGGACACACACTTGAACCTATTTCAAGGCCGCTGTGTGTGTTTGGGCTCGAAACTTCCGGTGAGGATTGTTGACAGTGGTTACTGCGAAAGCAAGGTGGTGGATGCTGGACGTAACTTTGCGTTTTAATTGACAAGTGGCAGGTTGGTCAGCATGCAGCAGGAGAACGACCTACGACTGATAATAATTATGGTGGGCTGTCATGTCACTGTAGATAGCAAAGAAGGAAATTAATTGTGGTCTGAGGCCATATTAGGGCTGACCACACCCAAAATGTCGCCAGTGTAGGGTGGGAACATTCGTGAGCAACTCGTGTTATTCCGGGACAAGCCGAATCTTCTTGCAGGTTACGGAAAGGGGCGAGTGGTGACGAATGGCGTGGGAAGAACGCGTGCAGTGTTGACCAAGGACTCCGGATCCATGTGTGTTTTAAAAAACCAAAATGTCATAAATAAACTGCCTCTCTCCAAATTCAGTATATCTATATTTCAATACATCTTGTATATCAAAGATGTGTAGCTCTCGTAAAATGTAATATAATCACTACAGTGCTTCACATCTTGATAGTAAACTTTAGTTTAGACAATTTCAAAGTGAAAATGAGGCCATATAGTATCTCCTTTATAAATTTATAATGCACCCTTCCGTGTAATCATATTAACCTCAGTGAATTTGTTTTTTTCACGGTTACCATGACAATCATGTAAATAGTGTATCGTGATATACCTTGTCGTATTAATGACAGATTGCCCCGCATTTAATATTATCTATCTTACATAGAATCTTTGGCTTACTAAAGAACACGAACTACGAACCAGGTTGTAGAAAAGTTAGTGAAGCATATCAGGTTGCGCTACTCACAGCCTGATCAGAGAATGTAAATTTGGAAATAGGAGGCGATTAACAGTATTCATGTTGCAAGGAACGAATGCGACCGAGACACGATGATGTATAGAGTTACCTCCCTTGCAACTTTGATGATGATTTTTGCATCTCGTTTGATTTTAGATTCTGAAATTTCTTGTCATTTAAGGTGCATTAAATAGAAAAGCAACAATGGCAGTTTTGCAAACAATGTAACGCTTGATGACCTCTCATAGTTTTGTGTTATAGACCATGGCTCTCTCTCCGTCTCTGTCTCTCTTCTCTCTCCCTCTCTTCCCTCTCTCACTCTCTCTCTCTCTCCTCTCTCTCACTCTATCCTCTACTCCCTCTCTCTCTTCTCTCTCCCTTAACCCCTCTCTCACTCTCTCTCACTCTATCCTCTCTCTCTCTCCCCTCTCTCTCTCTTCTCTCTCACTCTATCCTCTCCTCTCTCTCACTCTATCCTCCCCTCTCTCTCACTCTCTCTCACTCTATCCTCTCCTCTCTCTCTTCTCACTCCCTTAACCCCTCTCTCACTCTCTCTCACTCTATCCTCTCCTCCCCCCCCCCCCCCCCCCCCCCTCTCTCTCCTGACATACATCATCATATCTATGGTTGAATTGTTTGCGTTTCATTTCGCGTACTTCCTTGATTAACACTGGTTAACACAGGTTGAATCTAGTCATCCCTGGTGGTAACCTCGGTTGACTCAGGTCACTCAAATTTCAATAATCGAACGCAAGTGTTGTAATATACATTAGATAGTATAAAATAATTTACTCACTCACTCACTATTTCAGGAGGCCCAGGACCTGGCTCCTATGCCCCACCCACCAGCTACTTCCCAGTGCCCCCTCCCTACAAATCCCACGACCCCCCATCCCCGTACGGTTATACAGATCCTGCGTACCCTCCTGGATATAACAATAACAGCGGTCAGATAAATACTCGGACGCTACCCCCAGGAACTATCCACCCACCGCCGTCCATGCCACCGGCATGGCAGGCCCCACCCCCCGGGTCCCCTCCGCCGAATAACAATCCATCGATGCCACAGCCCGACCCCCCTCAAATGTTTCAACCCAACCCCCCTCCAACGGCACCGTCATATGAAGCTCTGACCCCCCACCGGCCTCCCCTCGCCACAGCACCAGGGGCTACAGGTAGTCAACCACCCCCAGCGCACCTCCCACCCATAAACAATCTACCGGCGACGGCGCCACCCAACAAGGAAGGACTATGAGAGCAGTGATGGAAATGCCGTAAATGCTTGAATAAGCGCTGGATTTCGTACGGTCTTCAGACAGCAGTTTCTTTTTCAGAAGATGTCTACATTGAATTCGTTCACTTTCGTTTAAAAAGTTACCATGTTTTACAACTTTTAAGGGAAATCTCTTGACAATGTGTGTATTCAATACAGGCGTACAGTAAATTACGTTTATAACGAACACGCTTATAACGAACTGACGGATATAACGAACTGTTTTTTGGTCCCGTCCATTTCCTGTATATATGTTGTAAATATGCTTATTACGAACTACGGTTATAACGAACTACATTTAGTGGTCCCTTTGAGTTCGTTATAACCGTAGTTTACTGTATATTGTTTCTGTGCGGTACGTTCGCATGTCTGTGCGTCTGTGCGTCTGTGCGTCGGTACGTCGTTGATTCGGGATAGACGTTTATTCAAGGATTTACAACAGACCCACAGTCTGGAGGCTATCTTCCACAGAGTACCACAAGGAAAAGAGGAGCATATTTTATCAGGCTCCTGTGTGCCTTATCAAGTGCTTCCCTACATACGGACGGTGACTGACTTTTATGAACGTTTGAATTTTCGAAACATCATATTTTGTATACTAAGTGCACAGTTATGCAAAAGACATATATTGGGGAAAGATTATTTCCATGCTAATAATCCGCTCTGTCACATTATTACAATGTTTTTTTTGTAAATTGGTAACACTAGACTGATCCATAACAAGGGTGAGAATTGAGACCTGTCATTTGTCAGGGGTCAAATGTAAAAGATGTACTTAATATAACTTTGACACACATAATATCGTTACAATCAGCCTTCTGGAAGACAACAATGTATTTATTTCAATGAAATACATTTCACTGACTGTGTCCTTATGACAAAAGGGGCCATTTATTTCACATTCTGGGATTTGATCCAAAAATTAAATGTCCCCGACAATTCTTGAAAAAATAATAATTATGCTTCACCTTGTTGGAAAAAAATCCCAATTGTCTTCCACATTTCTTACATCGTTGCAATGTGTTTTCATAAAAATATTTTGACTCATAGTTTTAATGAAAACAATTTGGGTTTGCAGTTTTAGCTGAAAAAAATATCTTTAAAAAATTCAAACCCTCCAGAATATCAAATGGTCAGCCCTGAGTCTATTCTCTCCATACTCAACACGTTTTACAGACCGCCCACTTATAGTATTTATATTTACCTAAAAAGATGTGCAGTATATTTTTTGTAGATACGATATTGTAATATAAATAATTGCATACTTACATGATGTTTTCCCAGTGTTCTTGTGGGAATAACACGTGCCCTGTTACCTTGATAATACACGATTAAATTGAGGATGAGTTGGTCACAATGACTGCTTTGTAGAAATAGTAGATGTACATATTCTTGATTTGGTGATATTACAAAGAGCGGTCAGCTAAGTCTGACTGTTGTCATTCTATTCATATCGAATGGGCCGGGTTTTATAATGGTTTGGTTGGTCCAGACTATATCCTACAGACTGTAGCTGCAGTGTTGCTGATTCCACAGTAGAAACAAACCTTCCTCCCTTATTTTCAATTCAATCAATCATACGTGTAGTATTGTTGAGGTGTGTTGGTCTAACCTGTCACGTGATACGTTAGAGATAAAAAGGCGAGAGAGCGGTTTATGTGAATGAGTGAGGGAAAATGTAACGAGAACAAGTTTATCAACTAAAACTGGCTCCCACAGGAGATTACACTTGGATGAGATAAAATTGCATCACAATGCTTTGCAGACCATTGTGACGTCATTGTTACCATGACGTCACAATCAAATGACGTCACTAATGGCTCTGCAACTGAAGCTGTTAGCAGCATTTTTTACACTTATGACACTGCTAATTACTGTCTACAAACTGAAAAAGTTGGAAGAATGATGTTTGATGATAAATAAAATCTCACCCGAGTGTCTTTTGATATCAAATATATCAACACTCGTTGATAAAGTGGAAAAACTCCTTGCCAAGCCTCTGAGTTTTTCCACTTTTATCAACTCGTGTTGATATAGTTGATATCAAAAGACACTCGGGTGAGAACCTCTATTAATTATCTACAAGTATGTCCCCAAAATACATCAAAGGTATATTTAAAAGAAAATTTGTCAAACATATTTTAGCATAACAATACTATTTACGGACCTTTAAAGCACGGACTATATTCAATCAGCGGATGTGTACTTAGAGATGGAGGTATTCAACACGTACATTGTTTTGAAAATGTGCACATGTATGTATATTTGTTCTCCATGGTCTTTCATATCTTTATGAACATATTTGACTTTATACGCAGTATTATGTCGGACGCCGTCTTCACAGCAATACACTCCGCGTGTATGTTGTTGAGAGATTATGATTGCATACGTAAACAATTTGACGAGACATCACCACGATGTGGAAGAAATAGTTCTGTAAATTGTATCCGAGTCCAAAAGAGTCGAAATCCCAAAAGGAGACAATAACTTCGACTAACAAACATGCACGTTATTTCCGAAATGTTACATTTGATATGCTTCGCGCGTTTGTATCATATAATCGTATTGTAACTTTAACAAGTGCATTCAAATGTATAATGGTGTTTTGGGTATTTGGTACTATTACTATGATACCAGAATGGTCACTGTAGAGATAATACAAATAAATAATACAAAAAATAAATAAATAATCAACCTTTGTTCACGTGGAAAGAGTGTGTAGTTTCTAATCACCGACTCTTGGCACCACTGGTATTTTTATTAGTTGTTTTTAAGTTTGTTAATCGTATATTCATGTTTAATGGGGGTCTGTCGGGTAGCCTAGTGGTTAAAGCGTTCGCTCGTCAAAGACCCGGTTTTGATTCCCGACATGGGTACAATGTGTGAAGCCCATTTCTGGTGTCCCCCGCCGTGATATTGCTGGAATATTGCTAAAAACGGCGTAAAACCACACTCACTGACTGTTTTAATGGGTCCCTTATAGTTAGAACGTGACATGATAGAACTTGCATTGCTCGCGAAATGATATATAAACTATATAAAGGATCTCGACCACTCGCCCAGTTTGTAAAAAATATGATGTGAAATGTATGTTTTGGTCCTGACCTTTTTAGAAAGGTCAGGTCTGCAAAGGTATATCTGAGCCGAGCCCAATATTTTTATGCTAAACTAAAATGACAGCGTATACGGCAACTAAATACACCATAACGAATTTATTATGCAGAAACAATTTCAACTCTCTGGTATTCTTATCGCACGTTTCAAGTCAAAATGAAAACTTGACACTTATAACCGTGAGTTGACGTGAGGGTCAAAGGGAGACAACTCTTTAAACCTTAGAGGCCAAACCTTGTTGAAAGTTTTACCTATCATCTCGAACGTGATCTAAAAACCAGATTAATGTCCTTGCACATCAAATTAATGATAGTAAAACACAAAACAGTGTCAAATAACGAATTTCGGTACCAGAATTTCCTTGTGAAATATGTGAGGTGAATGTTAGAAAATCCAAGTTGGCTGTTACTGACGGTATACAGTCTCATATTTCGTCAGTATCAACCATTTTGGATTTTTATTGACAGTATACGGGCTCATGGGGTGAGTAAATCTGGTCTCTGATTGGTCAATCTCACTTTAAGGCATAATAAAGCATTATATCTCATGTGATTTATCCAAACGGGATTCTTTGGTTGCAAACGTTATAAGCGGTAACTGTTGCAGCCTACAACATCATTGGTATTGTTGGGCAGAACGGCTGTGATATTTATATTAATGTGGTTATGTAGAAAGGAAGTTTTGTATCTGTGTGAAAACGTTTTTTTCTCAATAAAATCAATGGAAAGTGTTGCATTTTCTTTTTTGCTTAATAATTAATACACAAGAAGAAAAGATTTGTCCAATGTCTAGTAAACAAACATGGACCAGCTTATGTGTACTGTACGAAATAACCCGTGGTCACTGTACAACAACAAATCTCATGTACACTGTACGCCAGTCATCCAACTGTATAACCCACTCATGTGCACTGTACGCCAGTCATCCATCTGTATAACCCACTCATGCGCACTGTACGCCAGTCATCCAACTGTATAACCCACTCATGTGCACTGTACGCCAGTCATCCAATCATATAACCCACTCATGTGCACTGTACGCCAGTCATCCCGCGTTCACTGTACAGAACCCACTCACGTGCACTGTACGCCAGTCATCCTGCGTTTACTGTACAGAACCCATTCACGTGCACTGTACGCCAGTCATCCCGCGTTTACTGTACAAGAACCCACTCACGTGCACTGTGCTCCAGTCATCCCGCATTCACTGTACAACAACCACCTCACGTTCAATGTACGCCAATCATCCCGCGTTTTTTTGTATACAACCCACTCATGTGCACTGTACGCCAATCATCCCGCGTTTACTGTAGAACAACCCACTCATGTGCACTCTGCGCCTGTCATCCCATGTTTACTGTACAACAACCCACTCACGTGCACTGTACGCCAGTCATCCCGCCTTTTTTTTGTACACAACCCACTCACGTGCACTGTACGCCAGTCATCCCGCGTTTACTGTACAACAACCCACTCACGTGCACTGCGCGCCAATCATCCCGCGTTTACTGTACAACAACCCACTCATGTGCACTGTACGCCAGCCATCCCGCCTTTTTTTTGTACACAACCCACTCACGTGCACTGTACGCCAGTCATCCCGCGTTTACTGTACAACAACCCACTCACGTGCACTGCGCGCCAATCATCCCGCGTTTACTGTACAACAACCCACTCATGTGCACTGTGCGCCAGCCATCCTGCGTTTACTGTACAAGAACCCACTCACGTGCACTGTGCGCCAGTCATCCCGCATTCACTGTACAACAACCCACTCACGTTCACTGTACGCCAGTCATCCCGCGTTCACTGTATAACAACCCACTCTCGTGCTCTGTACGCCAATCATCCCGCATTTACTGTACAACA